GCTTTTAATCCAGTAGGTCTTTCGTGAACTTGGACGATGGTTCCTTGTTGAACTGTTTGGTCTGTCTCAGTCTTGGATAGTTATTCCACCATTCCTGAGACTCTTTTTGCATCCATTGTTTAATGAATGCCTTGCACAATGCCTTAGCAACTCCACAGAAGGGTTCTGGGCCTGTCATGGCTTTATTTGAGCTTTCTCGGGCTAATTCGTGGCCCTGATATCCCTCATGGCCTGACACCCAGGCTAGGATCACCTTGTTTTGACTACTTAGCTCTACCAGGTCTTCTAGATAGTCTTTCCCAAGTCGTGATTTGATTTTTGGTGAGATAATTGCCTTTAGAGCTGCTTGGCTATCGGAGTATATGGCAATAGTTTTGCATGATACTTGCAAAATACGTATTTAAAATGTACTAGAGTTAGACACTTTTATCTTTTGTTGTACTAGCATTTATAAATGGTTGAAATTTACTGAATCTAGTACAATTGTATTAGTAAACCCAACACTGATCCAGACAGGCGATAAATTTGGCTTTGAATATTAAAAAGCGTGGCGCATGGCACGTGGAATTTGCATAATTTGTATAAAAATAGTGGCATTTGCATAAAAAGAATGGCATTTTTGTCTAAAGCGGGACATTTTCGTACTGTGGCGTTGCGCGTACAAGCAAGTCGAAAAGCGTGGCAATTGCGCCTAAAGCGTGATGTCTGGCAACCGTAGTAATTGCTCGATATTTCAATTTGTATTATGTACACGCAACCATGTCTTGAATAAAAAATGAATTTGATAAAGGCATATTTCAATATAGTTTTGGATATACAGGATCTTGTGCTTTTGCTTGTTAAATAAAAAAATTATTTTACTTTTAAAATACTCTGGTAATATTGTTTTTAATCCTGAATTTATCTTCGTTTAAAGTGAAATGATTATTACATAAAAAATCCATCTGTACTTCTGTGTAGGCTTTGTAACTGTTTTCCATCGCTATTTTAGGAAAAGCACTATTAATTAGAACCCAAAGTGATGGTCGAGTTGGGAATACTATCTATACATTAGAATAAATATTCATTTATTAAATTAAATAAAAATCCTTGCCACCAGTGGAAATCGAACCTGAGATCCTTCGATCTCATAGTCATGACTCGTAAAAAAAAATCATAATACCCTCGATTTTTATTTTCAAATGCGTATTATGTCAAATATTCTTTTTTATTTTTTTCATCTGTGTGAGCTTAATGACGTCATCGATAATTTTTTAAATGGAAATCAGATTAATGCGATACATCATTTGGAAAGTCTTCTAATTATATATCTAATCATATCAATAAAATTTAGTAATTGACGTGTGTAAACTCTTAAAAAAATAATTACAAAATTGATTAATTTGCCATTACCAACCCTCAATAATATTTTGTACATTTGAAGAATAGAACAAGCTATTCGCTCCGTGCGTGACAGCAGCGCCAATTCATTTATGTACTAAGTGACTATTTTTGAGTATACTGACAAAACAACTTTTAAGGTACCATTTTGGTAGGCGCGACAGACGACAGACGACCGACGACGCGACATACGATCGCCGACGCGACCGAGAAGTGTCGCTTTACATCTAAAATACATACAATTATATGAAACATATTTCGCACGGCGCGACACGAGAAGTGTCGTCAAGACGATACTTCCTGCCGACACTTCTGAATCTGTCTCGGTGTCACTGTCCTCGGAGTGTCGCACTCGAGGTTGGAAATTTCTTTCGATCTAGGCAGCTTTGCCAGATTTTGGAACAGTATAGGTAAAAAAACCGTTGATCTGAACAGTAGATTTTAATACAGGGGGAAATAATTATAATTTGCAGTGTAGTAAATAAAAAATCAAGTATATAAGAAACGAAAAATAAACTTTTTTCCACCCAAATTAGAAAGTAAACAAAGAATAAAAACAAATAAAAACATTTTTATTATATACTTAACGTACGGAAAAAAACCATTGAAAAATAATAAGTACCTAGTTCTTTTAGATCAGTCTGAATCAGATAATTCAAAATCGTACTGCTTGGCATATGAATGTTCTTTTTATGATGCCCTATTAATTATTTGTTTCATTTTAAATAAAAACAATGATTATCTTAATGTTTTTTTTTATGGAGCCAACCTACAGTAGTGGATGCTTATTACGCTGCTTCTACTGCAGAAAATTTACTAGAGAAAATATTCTTTAACCATTTGCTGAAGAATGAGGCAAACTTAATAAATTAAGAACAAAATTTACTAGAGACAAAAACACTGGATCTACGTAAAAACAGTAGGTCTGGCAACGCTGATCGTTCCCTCGAATGGTTATTTGCAAGTGTCACGCGACACTTCTTCAAGCTTCCGAAATGTAACATTTATACATCTTTCGTCCTACTGGTCTCCGTAGTGGTCTCCAGTCTCCTGACGCGGCCACCGAAATGGTACCTTTAATGTATTTCGTAATTAAAAAGTATATATGTTAGTTTTAATAAAAGTATATGAATTTGTAAAACAAGTAAAACAAGTAAAACAAGTAAAACAAGTAAAACAAGTAAAACAAGTAAAACAAGTAAAACAAGTAAAACAAGTAAAACAAGTAAAACAAGTAAAACAAGTAAAACAAGTAAAACAAGTAAAACAAGTAAAACAAGTAAAACAAGTAAAACAAGTAAAACAAGTAAAACAAGTAAAACAAGTAAAACAAGTAAAACAAGTAAAACAAGTAAAACAAGTAAAACAAGTAAAACAAGTAAAACAAGTAAAACAAGTAAAACAAGTAAAACAAGTAAAACAAGTAAAACAAGTAAAACAAGTAAAACAAGTAAAACAAGTAAAACAAGTAAAACAAGTAAAACAAGTAAAACAAGTAAAACAAGTAAAACAAGTAAAACAAGTAAAACAAGTAAAACAAGTAAAACAAGTAAAACAAGTAAAACAAGTAAAACAAGTAAAACAAGTAAAACAAGTAAAACAAGTAAAACAAGTAAAACAAGTAAAACAAGTAAAACAAGTAAAACAAGTAAAACAAGTAAAACAAGTAAAACAAGTAAAACAAGTAAAACAAGTAAAACAAGTAAAACAAGTAAAACAAGTAAAACAAGTAAAACAAGTAAAACAAGTAAAACAAGTAAAACAAGTAAAACAAGTAAAACAAGTAAAACAAGTAAAACAAGTAAAACAAGTAAAACAAGTAAAACAAGTAAAACAAGTAAAACAAGTAAAACAAGTAAAACAAGTAAAACAAGTAAAACAAGTAAAACAAGTAAAACAAGTAAAACAAGTAAAACAAGTAAAACAAGTAAAACAAGTAAAACAAGTAAAACAAGTAAAACAAGTAAAACAAGTAAAACAAGTAAAACAAGTAAAACAAGTAAAACAAGTAAAACAAGTAAAACAAGTAAAACAAGTAAAACAAGTAAAACAAGTAAAACAAGTAAAACAAGTAAAACAAGTAAAACAAGTAAAACAAGTAAAACAAGTAAAACAAGTAAAACAAGTAAAACAAGTAAAACAAGTAAAACAAGTAAAACAAGTAAAACAAGTAAAACAAGTAAAACAAGTAAAACAAGTAAAACAAGTAAAACAAGTAAAACAAGTAAAACAAGTAAAACAAGTAAAACATTAATTTATTATTATTTTATATTTTTATCGCTTAAATTAAACAAAATAAGTATAACCAATAATAATAAATTATAGGAAGGCCACAGTATTTGCGGGAAAATGTATGAGAAGTTACCTTAGTCTAATAAGTTGTCTTTGAAGAATTAACCTATTCTATCAAAATAAAAACCATTAAATAATAGGGTGAAGTTAAAATGTATAAACAGACGGATTGTTATTTATATTTTCTTTTTTGTTAGAAAGAAAACAGAATGAATGAATAAAAAAAGGTTTCCTATCAGTGAGTCACAAAATTGCATTTCAGCAACATATAATTAATGTTAAAGAGATGTTAAAGAACATCGTAAAATGATAATTTATTGTTTATTTAAAACCTTTCAAGGTTCTGATCTCTACTATTGCCAGTATTACTGTTATTATTACAAAAATAAAGGTAATTTTTCTTCTCATTGTACACCTATCCATTAATTTCTTTAATTTAATTTCCACTTGGCTACTGAAAAGTTTTATAATTTTTTCACTGTTTTTTTTGCTAGTATTTTTACAATTTTCAACACAGCAACTCCGGCTGCTTATTGTATTTGTTTTTACCTACTTTAAAAAAAAAAAAAGTATATTTGCCAAAATGACAAAATCTTGCCCTAAAATGCACGAATTATACGCAGCTAGCGCTAGTTTCGCTTTTGCTTCCCCTACTATGACTTCGCACTGAGCGAATAGAATTCGAATATCCACCAAAAATTACGTAACTAGTCAGGATCCAAAATTATTATTGTAATAACTTTGTTTTATTAACAAATATATTTTAATAATGTTTTGGGTATTTCCGTTTATAAGAATTAAAGTTTGCCTTCTTTTTACATAAAAAATATCATAGAATAAAAGAAACATTTGTATGGTATTCAAATTTAATGCCAGGGAGTTCCAAAAAAGTAGGCCAATCCTTAGGTCAGTGTAAGAAGCCTATATTATTATTTTTTTCGATTGGGGCCAAAAATTTTGGGGCGGTTAAAGGTAATAAACCCCTTGCAAATAACGCTCTCTATGAGGTAGGTAATATTTAGGCTCAAATTAAGATATATCATCCCAACAAACCCGGTGTACCAATTTTAAGCCATGTACTTAATAAAACGACGAAAATACAAGAATAACGAAAAACTTATTTTCTTAAATTACCTTTGTAACCCTGTATATTGAACATGATGGCCCCAATTAAAAACATAATAATGAAGGTTTCTTACACTGATCTAAATAATCTATGGTCAACGAATTGGTCTACTTTACATAAGAAATTGTTGAGATCCGTTAATAAATGTACATTTTACAGATGTGCCCCGCTTTAAAATAATAATATAATTTCTAATTTTCAGTCAAAAATTTGGACTTTTCGAAGTAGACTTCAATAGCCCTAATAGGACAAGAACAATTCGTCCATCTGGAGAATTTTACAAAAAAGTAACCGAAACTAGATGTCTTGTAGACAATTGTGTAGACTAAAATTATTTTTTTTTTAATAAATGTTTGCAAATTATAAAGATATTTTGTGTTTTTTTTTTTAATTTCACAGACATTGAGACAATGATAAAGTATCCCCAAGCTAAATATTCCTTAAAAAATAATGTAGTTTAAAACAAAATATTTTTTCGCCAAATGAGACATTTAGGGGTTAATAAAAGCAGCACAATTGAAAGTGAAAACAGTGTCGTTGAAAACGTCAACTGGGAGCAAAAACATATCAAGCTTAAAGATCATTTTAAAATTATGAAAAAAATATGTTTACACTTGTAAAGCAATTAAAATTTTATAGAAGAAAATATCAGAGACTATTGAAACAAAACAAAGAACTAAAGGCTAAGAAAAATGTTTTTACTAAAAACAAATAAATGGACTTATTAATAAAAAAAAGTGTTGACTGGACATTTGAAAAAGTTGCGATATTACAGTAAAAAGGCATATCTGTATGTAAAACAGTATTTATATTTTCCACTTCCTGGTTTGTCTTCTCTAACACGATGGGATAACAAATTAAATTTTACAAATGGAATCTTAAACAGTGTATTTAAATTTATGCAGTTGGATGGAGAATCAATAATGGGTAGGTAATCTGTATTATGTGTATCTACTATTATTTTTCTACTCCCATGTCAGTAGACGTTAAAAATCGCACTGTCAACATTCCTTGTAAATAATATTTAACAATAACATGCACGTAATGAGATCTCATAACATACACGTGCGTTTTAATAAGAAAACTTAAATTTCTTAGTTTAATCAAATTGCAATCAAATTTTTATCTACGTACGACTTTATTTGGTCTATTTACATAAATATAGTCAATTAAAAAACATAAAAAGTTTTAGCATTAGCGAGAAAAATTTTGGATTAAAAGATTGATGCCCCTAAATATCGGCAACAGATTATACAATTTTTCAAAAAAAAAGTGGCGTTTTCTTAGCATGCTATGGAAATAACGTCATGTCATTTATATTGTCAATTTTTGTAACAAAATATTAGAGAATTATTGCAAGTTCACTTAAGGTCAGTCACCATTAGTGCCGCTCTTATTTTGATATCTAAGCATGCGCAGATCGTTTATGTTCTAAAACTGACTTTATTAAAGATTGTGCATGTTCTTAATTGTGGATGTACAAGGGCAGCAGGTAGTGGCGACTTTATAGCTTTCGGGTGCGCTCGCCGACATTCGTATCCGTTCGAAGTTTTTTAATATTAAATATCTAATATAATCGTCATCTAAACCTTTTAAAATTGTAATTTCTAATGCCTCTTTAATAATATGTACTATTATAGACAACAAAAAAGATGAACTAAAATTTAAACTTATTAAAATGAGGTTAGAGTGAGTATAAGGAGAATGATTCTAATGTCAAAATTTCAGGTTTGCAATAATTCTGATTTTAGCATGGAATTTATTTGACTCTAATTACTTTTAACGTTAAATACAGGCTTTGATGAAATTTATGCAATTAAAAGAAGTGTAACATGCAGTGAAGTTTTTACACAAACTTTTAATCAAACACGAAGTTTCAGATTTTTGAGTTTTTTTAAAAAATTATTTGAAAAAGTTGTTTTTCTAATGACGTCTATACACGGCTAAAAAAGTATCAACTTAGGATTCATCCTGTATGTGAAAATAATCAGCCTCACGACAAACACTTATAAATAACGTATCTTCTGCTAGATCAAAATCATCAATCAACAGAACAAGATAATTTTGGAGTACTACTTATAATATTAAAGATAATACCTAGTAATACTTTATAAGTTTTTAAATAGTATAATTAGTATAATTATTAAATTAGTTTCATCAAATCAAGATGGTGCCAAGGGTTTTAATTTTGACTACGTTTCTCAACTTATTGTAAGTATTTATTTACAATATATTTTCTATTTTATTCGCAATATATTACTGAGGCCCTTGCCTATGTTATGTTATGTTCGGAATGGGGTGTTAGTACACTGCGACCTAAAAGATCTATTCTGCCTCCTTCTGTCGCTAATGCAGCAAGGAAATGTCTTAAAGCCTATAATGACCCTTCTAATCCTATCATCTCAAAGAAGTGTATAATATGGAGAGGCTTCAAGTTAGGTAAATCTCCCTCTTCTATTTGATATGCTCCTAGGTATAGTGTCCTTGGATTCTGGAGTGCTACACATTCAGTTAGAATGTGAATGGAGGTTTCGTCCTTCTCCTCCTCACAGAATCTGCATTCACTATCTTCTGCAACTTTCAGTTTACTAAGGTGCCCTTTAAGTCGGCAATGCCCAGTAAGGATCCCTGTTATAATACGTAGCCTGTTCTTGTTCAGGCAGATGCAGGCTTCCGATCTTTTCTGATTATATTCACCCAGAAGTAGTATCTTAGCCTGCCTCAGCACCAAGAGATTCTTACAATTATCGGTTCTTTCACTGCCCAATTCTTTTTTAATCACTCCTAATATTATGTGACTGCTGATACCGCAGAACGTCTCAGGTCCCTCAAAGGGAACTTGAATCCCTTTCCTTGCGAGACTATCTGCAATCTCGTTACTCTGTACCCCGTTATGTCCCGGGACCCAAGTGAGAGTAACTCTATTTTTCTCGCCTAGCTTATTCAATTGTTCTAGGCATCTCCAGACCATTTTTGATAATCTCTTGTCTACATAGTTTCTCCCGATAACTAGATATATTTCTCCATGACGTGAATTTTCGCCTAGAAGATGCCTGGGTATTTTCCCAAGCTTTCGAAGTGCTTGGTTCTCGGCCTATACGCTCCTATTCCAGTTCCTTCTATGGTTTTGTATACCACTGAATACCATGTCTTTCGGTTGAAAGCGCGATGGATTCTTGGCTCCATTCTTTCTTGCAGCCCAGCTCTGTGGTTTTGAAGTTTTTCACAAAACTGTATTCTTTATCATTTCATTCTGGGTATCTTTGGTTCTGAAGCAAGTAGACTTTCGTCGGATTACTATATCGTGTCATTTTTGCCACATTCTCTATCATTTAATGTAGAGGGGTAAGGTCTAAGATCACCGGTGATGCAAACACAGACTAGTCTTTGTAGTTTTGAGAAATTAGCTCTCGTAGCAGCTAAACTAGTTCTGTTACTCCAGGCTATAGCCCCGTAAGTGATAATTGGTCTCACTATGGCAGTATGCATCCATCGCCATTATTACCCGCAATGTTTATGCATACCATTAGGGCTTTTGTGGCCTTATTTACTACTTCCTTCTTATGTGTGTTCCAGAAAAGTTTGTTGTCCAGGGTTAGGCTTAGATATTCGACTTTATTTTTCCATTCTATATCTATCCTGTCTAATTTAACGGTTTTCAGATTAAGTTTTCTTTTCCTTGAAAAGGCTACTAGTGTTTTTATAATAAGTCCCTCTTTACGGCACCATTTTTTGGTATGTTCTAGTCCTCGTTGGACTATATCACACAGAATATTTCTAAACTTGCCTATGGAGTGTTTATATGCTTGTATGTGCGCGGTTTTCAGAATTTTCGGTACAATTTTAGTACTTTAAATAGCGGTGTTTTTAAAATGTAATACATTTCTTATGGACCTTATTTATACACTGTGGCACGGGTACAGTTATCACAATTTCAATAGATAACCATGCTTGCTAACTGTAAAACCACAGGCATGTTTTTCTATATTTCTGTTATTCTTAAACGTCAAATAAATTATTTAAACTGTTTTAACGTCTTTCAAAATATTTTATTTAAATGATTAATTATTGTCAGTGAAAATAATAGATAAGATAAAATGATTGTTTTAAGTTGAAATAAATGTGAATCCCAAATATTTTTACACACACGAGCCTAAGAGGTAAAGGGCCAAATAATTTTACATGGGCGGACACGGGGTAATGAGACAAAATATGTTCATTGGATATACTTAGGTAAAGGGTCAAAATATGTATAAATGGCGTAAGTGGCAAAAGAACCAAATATTTTTACATGGCAGGTTTAAGGGCTAAAGGGACCAACTATATCTACTTAGGCAGGGTTAATTAGTAAAATGATCAAATATTTTTAGATGGAAAGGATCAATGATAATGGGTCAAAATATTTGGGCAGTCTTAAGGGGTAAAGAGTTCAAATATTTTTACTTAAATTGTTCAGCAATTTTCAAAACGGAGACGTGGAATAGTTCTTTGAAAATGTCTTAATGGTTTATCGTCTTGTTTTTTGGCCACTCTCACCCTTTTCTTTTATGAAACGAGTTTGCTCGTGAGGCCTTAGTCTCAATAAGTTGGAAGCCTCCAATTTAGCATATCTATTGTTTTCAGCATTTCCAATGGTTTGGCAATTAACAACAAACGCTTTCCTTCAAACTTCCTGTTTGGATCGGCAACATCTGCCTATCAAGTTGAAGGTATGGACTTTTTAGGAAAAATATTTTCCATTGTTTAAATTATTAAATATTGCATACTTAAAAAATAAATATTTCAATATCTATTTTGGTACTTCAGTAGTCATTTTTTTTGTATAAAATAATAATATGATTTATAGAATAGGATATATTTTAGAACTTCTATGTCAATCTTCAAATAGGTAAAATAAGATATGATATTTGGAAAAACGTTGATTTCAAAGGATCCTATTTTTAAAATATTTAAAACACTATTACTAAATAGTTTGTTAGTATACTTTTGTTGCTTATACTAATTTTTTTCAATTGTTTATTTTTAGGAGCGTGGAATGCAGATGGAAAATCAGAATCCCTTTGGGATCGTTATATTCACACCACACCCGGTTTTATCGAAGACGGGAGCACTGGAGATGTTGCTTGTAATTCATACTATCTATGGGAAAACGATATAGCAATTCTTAAAGAAATGGGAGCCAATCATTATAGATTTTCTATAGCTTGGACCCGAATTTTACCCACAGGTGAGGAAAATATTTTTGGAATAGAACTGTCTATATCAGTAATCTGAGGCGTAATAACAAAACGTCAGCAAATTACAGACAAATTGTGGTAAGAGTTAGGCATTCTGGTTTAATACTAGAAGACACAATTTTAAAGATAATACCATACATTTATTTATGTACAAAGAGAATAAGTGACACTAGCCCTGGGTTAGCCGCATGTTTAAAAAAAAAAACATAAAGTTTATTATTTTTTTTTTAAAGGACTACTATTAATAGATAATTAACATTAATCAAACATGCATTTTTTTAAACGATTACTAATAAATCTTTTTCTTAGATCAAAAAAATAATTTTTAAAATTGGACGTAATATAAAGCCGTAATAATTGTTAAATTAGCAAATATAGAAAAATGGGCGATATTGTCTTCCTCGTCTACCTAGTATTGAAATTTGGCCAGAATAATAATTGCTCGATGGTGTGAAGTGGGAAATTTTATTACATGAGATAATTTTGTTTTTAATATAGAATTTGTAATGTTTCAATATATTTAATAAATAGTTTGATTAGAAAAAATTATGTTTTCTGACTTATCTGTGAATAAAACATGGGGAAAATACTTAGTTTTCCTTAAAAGTTTTTCTCGATTTTGTTGCTGTCTGCTGTTGTAGTGATCTGATAATTTGTAGACTATATAATTTTTTGCAGAAAGATTGTCTCCTTTTCAACTTAGATTACATAAAGAAAGAAGATTAGTTAATTTTTATTCTATACATTATTTAACGTATTGTGGTGCGGAATATGGATGATTGGCCATGACCTGATTAAAATTTATTTTCGCGCACTGTTTTCGATTAGTTAATATCTTAAATTCGTAAAAGCCACGCCTTTAACCAAAATATGTCACCGTGATGTAGTATCAATCAGCGTTATATCATATCTTCTTTTTATAGTATCATGGATGTATTACAACTTTTCTCTCTTTGACTTCAATGATCTTATAAACGGACTGGGATGAGGTATACAAGTTCTTCTTAGCTGATATCTCAAATTCCTGCAAGGTTATGAGTTTCTGCTTTTAAAATAACTCAATAATATAGAAGGACAAACAAACGCTAGAAGTGGCGTGATATATAATCAATCCTGTACATCGGATATGTTTTATTTTTAGATATAATGTAATTGTATCAGAAATTATAAAATACATTTAATTTTGTTTTTGTAATGATTAGGGCGTTTGCCTAAAAAGTTTGATATTATTTTTTACAACGTATACGGGGTTAAGCATAGGAAATGTATTTTAAATTTAATTTAAACTTAATACTAAAATAAATTAGTCACAAAAAATCGACCCGGCTAATTTATAATAGAAAATAATATATATAAAAAAAGAATAAGAATAAATCGTAAGATAAGACACCACACTTGTGCCAAGGCAATGTTAAAATTTAATCTAAAAAAAAAAAAAGAAATTTAAAACATGTAAAATAACAAAAAAAAAATAACAATGTCTGAAGGAAAAAAATAACAGTGTTAATTATTAAATACCTTACTGAAGAAAACCCGAGAACTTACCAAAAAAACTATATATTAATTTACAAAATTATATCCTTGACGAAGTAACAAAAAAAAGTCATATTGATACTGTCTTGAAATGAAGGGCGCTCTGATAATTAGTTATAGATAATAATCAATATTACAACTGTTTAAAGTAACAATAAAATACATTTAAAAATAAGATGATACATTCGAATAGGTAGGTACCTTTTAATTTAATGTAAGATTGCGTTATTTTCATATTTATAAAATGATAATTTGTTACTTTTATTTATTATGTTTTACAATTTATTTTTGTTCATGGACAACCATTCTGAATACTATTATTCTATCGCTTTACGGTCAAGGTCATTTTCAAGACTTTAAAAATTATTTTTTGATAAAATAAAAATAAAATTTAATCAAAGTTCTATTTATTTTTATATATTTATTCGTTCATTTCATATTTCGTCCCTCTATCTTGTCCCAAAGACCTCTAACTGAGTGTTTGTAAGTCGAATGGGCGAAAATAAGTCATCATCTACGGAAAAGGGGTGAGCCTAAAGCCCTCATCTCCTCGTAATACCATTAGCATTACCATTACCATTAGATAGCAGTATCTTTTATAGACTTTTCAATGATAGATCACAAGTAGGGGTCTAGGGAGTTGATCGAGGCGAGTACTCTTTTATGCCATGTTAGTTCCCCCTTCCTATCCTAGAAACGGTTTCAAGCATTTTTTGATATCATCTTCGTTTGTGAGATGTAGCCTATTGTTTTTAAATTGTCACACTGTATATTTTTTTCTAATGCACTGAAATATTTATTTATTTTTTAAAGGTCGCAATGATGTAGTTAACGAGAAAGGAATAACATACTATAAAAACCTCATCAAAGCTCTTAAACAGAACAACATAGAACCAATGGTTTCCATGTTTCATTGGGACACTCCTCAAGCTCTTGAAGATCTTGGCGGTTTCCTAAACGATTCAATTGCAGATTGGTATGCAGATTATGCTCGAGTACTTTACGAAAATTTTGGAGACGATGTTAAGTATTGGTTCACTTTCAATGAACCAAAAACATACTGTAATGGCGGGTACGGTTACGCATACGATCCTCCAAGAATTGCTTCGGAAGGTCTTTTGGAATACGTTTGTGCGCATAATTTGTTGAGAGCCCATGCTAAGGCTTATCGTATTTATGATCAAGAATTTAGAAGCAAACAAAACGGTAAGTTTAATATTTGAAATTGAAAGTGTTTTGTTAACTAGAATATTAACAATAACAATAATTAATGGGGATATGATAGAAATGTGTTCCTCCCCTTATAATAAAAATGGATCTAACGTTTTTCTCAAAACAAACTTTAAAATATCCAATATTCTCAGATACTTAAATAATTAGATACTTAGACACTTAGATACTTAGATACTTAGATAGATACTTAGATACTTAGATACTTAGATACTTAGATACTTAGATACTTAGATACTTAGATACTTAGATACTTAGATACTTAGATACTTAGATACTTAGATACTTAGATACTTAGATACTTAGATACTTAGATACTTAGATACTTAGATACTTAGATACTTAGATACTTAGATACTTAGATACTTAGATACTTAGATACTTAGATACTTAGATACTTAGATACTTAGATACTTAGATACTTAGATACTTAGATACTTAGATACTTAGATACTTAGATACTTAGATACTTAGATACTTAGATACTTAGATACTTAGATACTTAGATACTTAGATACTTAGATACTTAGATACTTAGATACTTAGATACTTAGATACTTAGATACTTAGATACTTAGATACTTAGATACTTAGATACTTAGATACTTAGATACTTAGATACTTACTTAGATACTTAGATACTTAGATACTTAGATACTTAGATACTTAGATACTTAGATACTTAGATACTTAGATACTTAGATACTTAGATACTTAGATACTTAGATACTTAGATACTTAGATACTTAGATACTTAGATACTTAGATACTTAGATACTTAGATACTTAGATACTTAGATACTTAGATACTTAGATACTTAGATACTTAGATACTTAGATACTTAGATACTTAGATACTTAGATACTTAGATACTTAGATACTTAGATACTTAGATACTTAGATACTTAGATACTTAGATACTTAGATACTTAGATACTTAGATACTTAGATATTTATATACTTAGATAACTTAAATAGGAACACGAACTTTATCCTCATAATACACAAAAATTACAAAGGCCTACGAAATCTCGTCTAGTTCGCTCATGACGTATTGTGGTGCGGATAATGGCTCTGATTAGCCATGAGCGGATTAAAATTTATTTTCGCGCGATGTTTTCGATCAGCTAATACCTCAAATTCATCAAAGCCACGCCTCCACACCACTATACAGCGTGGCGTACTATCAGCGTAATATCATATCTTCTTTTTATACTATCATGGTTTATCCTTTTTATTTGGTTGAAAAAAAAAAATTGTTTCGAATATTTTTTCATGTGAATAAATTTTGTTTTAAAGGTAAAATGTCAATTGTTTTGGACTCATCGTGGTTTGGACCAGCAACTAATAGTTCCGAAGATAAAGTTGCAGCTGAACAAGCTTTTCATTTTGAGGTAAGCTAAAGAGGGTACTGAAATAATAAAAATCACAACAGTCGTCAAAATTAACAAAGACTCTAAATATATTTCCATTAGTAAAAAAGAATAAATATATTGCCTAAATATATTATATATTGCCTCGTTATAGGAAGAAATTTTGACCCAAAACACGTTAAGGCAATAGAATGGGCAAATTTTTTTTGTATTAAAAAAAAGTAAATACATATTCTTATGCATTGCGTATAGTATCTATATTGCACAAAATTAAAAAATTATTAACTAAACAATCTTGAGCCTCTATTATAAATATTAGGAACAAATAAACTTAAATTTAAAATAACAAATAAAGATTTTTTTGGTGCCTCACCAAAACAACAATGTTAAATCCTTAAAAGTATTGTACAGAAATATGTTCTGCGAGCCGAGCCCGGTAGCAGCTGTACCCCCCTATGTACGGCCCTGAATAAGACGTAAGCCACAAATGTTTTTCACTAGAATTTGCCATGGACCTTACAACGACAAATACAGTCTGTTCGCTATACTTACGCGGGTTTCGGATTAAAAATTTTATGAGTATTTCCAGGTAAGTACCCGAAAGTTTGACCTGTTTTTTGGGGAAATATCAACTGGTTAAATGAAATGAAAAATAATGTACAACTTTTTAATTAAATAATAATGGATAATCTTTTGTATAATTGAGAGCAGAATTAAACTTCTTCATTAATGGAGTCTAATGTGGCTATTATAAACCTAATAATAATTTTATATTACACTTCACACAGAAAATATGGTCTATGTATAATAAGAGGGTTATTTAGCTCAAATAAAATATTTTCTAACATAAAAATTTGTTCCATGTAGAGAATTTCAAATGAAAAAAAAAAAATATTGAACTTGCCAACAAAAATGAAAATCAGTCATTATCATAATCGTCATCATCATCACTGTCATCACCATTAATTGTTATTATGATTGGACTTATTTCGTTTATTTTATTTTCACGAGTCGACCAATCTTCTATTAGTTTCTCGCACTTGGATATATACAGTTCCGCCACACTTCTGGAGTTGCAATTAAAAGTGCTTTTCGCCAAGTTTCCCAAACTGCGTCGTCACTATAACCATTAGGCCCAATATGGTTGTCAAAATATTGTTTTACTATTCCCCATATATATTCGATGGGATTAAACTGGCAATGATACGGTGGCAGACGTAAAACTTGATGACCGTAACTTTCAATAATCTGATCCACAACAAAGGTTTTTGGTTTTGCGTGTATATTTGCCAAGCGTAATAATTCTGATTTTAATATATATTGAGGAAATGGTATATGTTCCTTTGTCAACCATTCTTTAATTTTATCAACAGTCCAAGAATTCGTTGGACTTTTGTTTAATACTTCAGAATGGTAAGGTGCATTGTCTAAAATAATTACGCTGGGCTCACTTAAATCTGGGCGAAGTTTTTCATGCAACCATTTCACAAACATTTCTGTGTTCATATTATCGTGATAGTCACTGGATTTTGATTTGGATGAAAATATTAAATCAGCACCTTCTATAAAACCCGATTTCCCTCCTGCATGTAAAATTATGTGTCGCTTCTTTTCTCCATCGGTATGTTTGATGGACTTTACGTTATCATCTTGCCATATTCTCTTGGTTGCACCCCTAGAAAATATCCATGTTTCGTCTAAATATATAAAATTCGCCCCTTCTTCTTTAAATTTAGAATATTTTCCTATTTTATCTTGTGCACGACAGAACTTCTTTCACAAAGGGCCTTTCTGTTATCCTCCTTTTGAAATTTGAAAACCAAGTTATGTATCACTTGCCATAGACTTGTTTTGCCAATGTCGTCAAATTTTCTATCTATTAATTCCGAGAGAATTGTATTTAAGCTCACATGTTTCTTGTTGGCCCTCATTCGATAAATGGTATCACGAATTTCAAATTTCTTTCCATCTGGAATATCTTTCGTTTTCAATGATGGGCGAGTTTTGCGGTGATCTTCTATCGGCAGTTCATTATTGTGATTTTGTAATACTCCTCTTAATTTGGTTTCACTTATTCCTAGAGCATCGCATACGCGTTGTTGTACAGACATTACTGATTTTAAAGGACCGCCATTTTCTTTTTCTTCCATAAAATACTTATGCACACTACAAATTAGACTATCTATATCTAACACACGTCTAGGCATTTTTAAAATTTCCACTAAATTAACAATATACATACAATGTCAACACTTGCAAAGAATCAATTCAACTGCAATATTTGTAACAAATTTAGTACCTACCCTAATGTTATTTTACACAAGTGGGCTTTGAACCACGCCCTAATTCAGATGAATGTTATTTTAATTTAAATCTGACCATTAGGGCAATTTTACCTAATTTCTTGGGAAGTGGTTTATTGGAACTGGTTGTCAATGACTAATTTGCATAATTTTGTTAATCCGAAACCCGCGTAAGTAAATGATTAAATTGCATTCAGTGGCGTGTATAGTTATTATGGACAAGGCACATAACTGACTCTTTGTTTTTGTTTGTCATGGCCAACCACAGAGGTATAATATTATGGAAGGCAATTTTTTCCTATAAGGAACTTGTCATTAAAAATGATACCACTGAGGGTGGAAGCTTAAAGTGGCTTCTAAGCAGGGTCGTATTCAGGTCTAATTAAATTCGAAGAATCACTGTCGTGTTTGACTTTCAATCAGGTATTTTCTTTGAATTTTATTGGAACGCTCAAAGTAAAACTGCGCATGAGTTGAAACGATTATGTACGAATTTGAACTTTTATTGGAACAAACCGACTAGGTTTATTTCGACAGCGTTTTTGATCGTTAGGAATATGCGCATCTGAGGACACACTATTGCACTGAATGGTAATCTACAAACGATTACCTATCACAAACCTTGCAGAAACATACCTAATTGATAATTTATTTGGAAGGGTAGGCATTGAATTTTGCACCATTTTCATTCTGTAACGTTTCATGCAGTAATGTTAGCATTCTATTGAAGAAGTTAAAAAGTTTCAAATTTTAATCACAAAGCAGTAATGTAATAGTGTTTGTTTGATTGAAGAGCTAAGGTAATCACTAAAACCCGAGAATAACGATCAAGGAGAAGCGACAGCTTGGTGTTTTTAGTGTACCGTTTTGTAACGCGCATGTGCGAAAATAAGTTGTGTATCACTCAAAATGATGTTATCTGTCAAAGTCAGTCCAAGTTGTGTTTAGTATGTGAGCAATGTTAAGTGATATTTTTTGGTGTTTGTTTTGTGTAGTAATAAGATGAAGATTTCTACACACTTAGGTATTCTAATGCAGATATAAAATGTGCCAAAAAAGTTAGTAGGAAACTAAGAATTTTATCACATGCATAAATATTAAGTATAATGATTTAATCATTTTTGACATTTTATTTTTCATATGTAGGCATTTTATTTTGTGAAATATATGTTTTCTTCTTTTAAATAAATTTAATAAACAATGAACTGGAGATTTTGTTTATTTTATTTTGAAATTATATTTAATAAAATATAATAAATCCGCGTGTTTCGATTAGGATTGGTGAAAATGGGCGAAATCCCTTTATTATGGCTAAATTGTAAGGTACAATTATGTCAATAAAAAGATGTTTTGCCCATTCATGTTTACATTTATTGAATGAATCATACTGGAGTTGATTTTGGAAATATTGGTGTTAGTGCATACTTAAATAAGTACTATTTCAAAAAATTCGTCTATGCCCAGACAGCACACATAGTCCGATGTACGTCCACTTTAGATCTATTTGAGGGTCAGGACGTCCATATCCGGGCATCCAGTGTACGTCCGTTTATGCTAATTAAATTGACAGCTGAATATTGATACCCAGAGAACGTCTGTTTTTGGACTTAATTTTAAGTTTAGTAGTATTTTGACGTCCAGTGGACGTCCATCTTAGGTCATTATTTATTAAGCCTACCAGATAATACTCATCTATAATATATACTTTTTTTTTAATATAACTGGTCATTAAAAATTGACAAATTGAATCTATTGCATTTCATTCTATCAGCGGAAGTTTGAAATCTTATTCAATTATAACTGTATCTAGTAAAAAGTTTTCAAGTGGTTCCTTGGTCGAGCTCGTCTAGCGATTGAAAGGGTAAAACGATAATGGATGTGTCGTGAGTTCGATGCCTGCTCAGGCCAAGCGATTTTTAATAAAAAAAATGGTGTATAGCGGTTTGCGAAAATAATAAACAAATTATTAATAATATAAAATAGTGTGTGGTAAGTTGCGGTTCTGTAAAAAAAGTGGGGATTTGGTCTCAATGGAAATATAATCCTGGACGTTTTTTGAATGTTCAGTATTCGACGTCCAAATATATTCCAGAATTGAACGTCCTCTGAATGGTCAAAAGTGTGCCATTTGTATACTTCACTGGACGTCTATTGGATGTCGGAAGTCCAGAAAAAACTCATTCTTGGACGTCCCCAGATAGCACACGACGTCTGAAAGACGTCTTTTTTGTGTCTTGGTTTGGTCTCAATGTCCTAGGACGTTATTAAGACGTCTTATAAGACGTCTTGCAAAAGCCATAATTCAGACGTATTATTGTGAGAGCTCAAAGACGTTCTTAAGACGTCTTAAAGACGTCTTGTCAAATCCATATATTAATCTGAAAGCTCAAAGACGTCTTTAAGACGTCTTACAAACGTCTTTCAGTCGGACGGAAACTTGCACGGTTTACATAATTCAAATTTAACTAGAAGAATCAAATGAAGTGAAGTTTGACGTTTGATTTAACATTATATTCAAGCCGGACTTCCGATTCGGACACCATCGTGACAATATTGAAATGGCGTTCTCCGAATCGGGAGCCAAGAAATCCCATAAAAATCACAAAATATCTAGTATAAAAGTGACCATCCGAATTTAAAAAGTATACAAAATTAAACAAAATATTCTGTGTAATATTTGGAGAAGATAATTGAAATCAAATATCAAGTGCAGTGGAAAAGTGAAAAGATTGAGCCCATATAAAACGAAGAAAAGAAGAAATACATTCAAGCCCAAGCCAAAAATTTGTATGGCCCAAGCTCATTGTGGATTATTGATTATTTTATTGCGTACACGATTATAGCCACCAAAAGCGACTTTGGGCTATTTTGAGCATTTGTGTCTCTTTCTACTTAAATAATATGGAACAAAAACCAGAGAGGGAAGAATAGTTTGTGTTACCGATGTAGCACGTTCCTGGAATACAGGTAATAAATGAATATTTGTTTATATACATAGAACATTAATATCCTGTTTCTTCTAAGAATAATTAAATTAATTTAAAAGTAAACATCTTAATATAAGATTTAATTCAGATATTGGTCAAGTATCGTTTTTGTTTGTTTTTATGGAGATTTTGAGAACTAATAGTATCAAAAACTCCCTATTAGATAGCCATTTTGAGTGAAGTTAAAGTAAAATTGTTAAAGTAGGCGATTAAGCATAATAGCTCATATTGCATTAAATGATTATAAAAATTCTTTGATTTAAAATTCTAAGAAATTAATTTTTTGTTTTGTTTTATCGGTTTTTACAAACTGTTGCAAAGTATAATTTTCTGTGACTAGATGCTCTTAACTAATTTTCTTTTTAGGAGCTATACAAAGGCAACTACAAATCAAAGAGAAAAATCAATCCAGTTATGGCTAAAGAGGAGTGATCGAATGCGCTACAAAGAAAATAACTCTTAGTGACCTGTGATTAATAGATGTTTTATCAATAAATATTTTAATTCTATTTTTTGCATTATTTATAATCTGCAAGGTTGTTCTACTTTTTAATAACCAAGATATCCGACGTCCTACGTTCATAAGACATCTTAAAGACGTCTTACTTATGGCTTTACAAGACCATTATAAGCTATTAATCAGTCGTCTTATTTATGGCTTATTTAAAGCTTCACAAGACCATTATAAGCCATTAATAAGACGTCTTAAAGACGTCTTATTTAAGGCTTCACAAGACCATTATAAGCTATTAATAAGTCGTCTTAAAGACGTCTTATTTATGGCTTATTTAAAGCTTCACAAGACCATTATAAGCCATTAATAAGACGTCTTAAAGTCATCTTATTTATGGCTTATTTAAGGCTTTACAAGACCATTATAAGCTATTAATAAGTCGTCTTAAAGACGTCTTATTTATGGCTTATTTTAAGCTCAACAGACCAATATAAGCCATTAATAAGACGTCTTAAAGACGTCGCTTTTTGTAACATCAGACGTCTTCTAAGACGTCTTAAAGACGTCTTTCAGGAAATACCAGACGTCTTATAGACGTCTCGAATGTCTTATGCTAGACGTCTTAAAGACGTCTTTAAGACGACTTTGTGCTATCTGGGTCTATACATTCAAAATTGTATATCTAATGGACGTCCAATGGACATATTTGTATTGTCTGGGTGATAGCCAGGCCAGGTATTTAACTCTAAATACATAAACCTTAAATGACATCTGGCTTAACTTGGCGAGAAAACACTTATTTATACAGAAAAACAGAGTGATAAACTTGAAAGTCCTTTTAATATAATATAAATCCAGAAATTCTAAAAATATGTTGTAAGTACTTTTTAAACCTAAAAGTTTTTGAAAATATAAGCACATTGCAAATATTTAGTTTAATATCTCAAACTTAATGTCTTTTTAATTGTTACCTAAATTTTTTTTGGCACCCTTAATTTTATTTACCTTATTTTTACTTAAGGAGAAGGTTAATTTAATTTAAATATGGTGCTTTTATTACATTTTTAACAATAAATAAACCAAATATTGAACAAATTTTATAGATAAATTATAAAATAATAAACGTCTTTTACTTTTATAATAAATAATTAATTATTACATAATGAATTATATTTTGGTGCCGAAATTTCACCATTGCTATTAACCCTAACTACTTCTATGTAATTAAATCATATTACAACATTTGCGCATGGACTATAACAATGATTTCAGATAATTTGCCAAACTATTTCGCTCAGTGTAGAAAATAAGCATGTTTTCTCAGCGTGCTAAGTTGTGTATCAATCAAAGTCATACTGTGAAACAGGTACATCCGATATCAAAGGCACCGACAGCTACTGTCGCTTCTCCTTGATCGTTATTCTCGGACTAAAACACATATTTATATTTGCATCAACTAATTGAGTTTGCTGTTAAATAGCAAATAAAATTTTAAATTAGTCTTGCAAATGAATAAAGCATAAAAAACTATTTGGTTAAAGCTTCTTATCACAAATTCATATCAGATTTTAAATTTCTTAGATCTTTTGGAAATCTGCATTGTAAATATATACTGAGTACAGTCCTTATACTTATGAAAATTGTACCCTAACGATTTAGTATGGTTTTTAATTTTGTAGCTTGTATAGTTAAGTTTAGCACACTTAGTCATGATTTGGACACAATTAATGGCAATTTTCAAAATGTTTGACAGTTCTTAGACAACCATGTCTTCTAAGGGAGGAATAATTGATAACGCTTTTTAATAGCATATTATATCCATATTATTCAACCGCATTGTGGCCAACTCAAGAAACTTTTTAATACACACACTTTTTAATATAAGAAAATTTCAAACTCTACTTTATTCAGCTGTAAACGGTGCTTTTAAAATGACTTTTTATTTAGCTCGGTTGGTATGCCAATCCTGTTCACTATGGAGACTATCCAGAAGTAATGAAAACTCGCATCGCAGCTCGAAGTGCAGCTGAAGGTAGGAATCAATCGCGTCTTCCAGAATTTACTGAAGAAGAAAAAGAACAGCTCAAAGACAGTACTGACTTCTTCGCCGTCAATACTTATACAGGAAGTTTAGTATCAGCCATACCAGAACCTGGAATTACTGATCCACCAAGTAGATATGGAGATATGGGAGTTAATAGTTTTCAACCAGATGAATGGGAATCAACTACATTTGGTTGGTTTAAAGTAAGTAAAAGATGTAGTTTTCTTTAAAATTTATTTCATAAAAATTTTCTTATTTATGAAAAAAAAAATAGTATGCACCATGGGGAATGAGAATCCTTCTGAACTGGATAAAATCCACTTATGGTGATCCAGAAATCGTTGTTACTGAGAATGGCTATCCTGACTATGGAGGATTGAATGACACTAGAAGATTGGATTATCATCGTGTAAGTAAACAAACATTATTAGTAAATCTAGACTGGTTATGCAAGTTAAACATCTTACTTTGGATACCAATACTGAGTCTATCAAGTTTTTCTTGCTCTAAAACAGCCCACCAAAAAATGTAAGGTTACCATGTCACCATTTGTTTTTATATAGATAATTTAAACCTTCTTATTGGCGAATTTCATATTCATTTTATATTTCAACAAATCAATCAATTAAAAACATAACTCAAAATATGTAAATTTTGAGTTTTATCAATTTTGAAGTAAAAGTGCGAATATACAGGGTGTTTATTAAGTACTTGTACAAACTTTAAATGGTAAATCTTTGACTTATTTTAAGGAAAAACGTTCATATGAACACATTTCCTAAACCTCTTAACTTTTGTGCTACAGGATGGTAAAGTTTTCAAAAAAAAATATTTTTTTCTAATAACTCTAAGAATATTGCAGATATTTTTACGAAATTTGGTACACGTCTCCTACTCATTATGATGCATTTTTAGTGTACAAATAATTTTATTATTTCTACCAGTGGCGCCTGTACGGGTTTCGTATTAAATATTTTTGCCGAAAAAAATAGTACGCCACTGCTTCATCTTAAAATAACAAATATTTTTGCAATCCTCATTTAGTTTTGAGCAAATTTGGTCTGATGAGTTTTTTATCCGACACATAGTTTTCGTCCGACGCATAGTATTCTGCATGGAATAAGTAAAAAATGTGTCTTTTATTGATCAATATTGTTATGTGATAAACTTAGATTATTTAGAGACTAAGACTAAACTACTTTTACAAATAAGTTAATAACATTTACAACAATTGCTGAAAATGCCCGCCGCCTACTGCAACGCATGCGTCAATTCGCCTTAACATTGATTGACGTACTCTTTCGAATATACCTGGTGTCTGATTAATAATGGGACACGATTCAAATATCCTGTTTCTTAGATCTTGCTCATTTTGAACGGATGTTTTGTAAACTAGTGTCTTTAAGTGACCCCTCAGAAAAAATCCAGAGGATTTAAATCTGGTGATCTGGGAGGCCAGGCTTGCGGTCCCGCTCTTCCTATCCAACGATTAAGATAATTCTCGTTCAGAAATTGATGTGCAGCCAAACAAAAGTGTGCCGGTGCGCCATCGTGCATGAAACACATCCTGTATCTGGTAGCCAAATCAATTTCTTCTAAATGTTCAGGAAGCTCGTGTTCCAAAAATCTTCTGTACTCTTCGCCATTTAGCCTTTGTGGAAGAATGCAAGGTCCAATAAGGTAATCCTCGATAATTCCGACCCAAATATTTAGAGAAAAACGATCTTGGAAATTATTTTCTATGATAGCATTGGGATTATCCTCAGACCAGATATGGTTGTTGTGGAAGTTCATGATGGCGTTTCGAGAAAAAGAAGCTTCGTCTGTAACAAGTACATGGCCTAAGAAATCCGGGGTTGTTAATAATTTATTTCGCAGCCAAACGCAGAAATCTACTCTGAGAGGAAAATCTCTAGGTAGTAATGCCTGTACACGTTGAATATGATAAGGATAAAGTTGTTGAGATTTTAAAATTGTCCACACAATTGTATGCGTAATATTCTATTCATGAGCAATTTTCCTTGTACTAGTTTGCGGGTCTTCTTCAATTCTATTTAACACAGCTTCTTCAATTTCAACTGTCGCAGGCCTTCCTGGGATATCAATTGTTCTTTTAAAGCTGCCAGTTTCACAAAGTCTTGCGTGAATATTAATGGGATATGTGGAACCACCCGTTGAGGAAATCGGGCTTGATACATTCTTTTTGCAGCTTGTGCATTACCGTGAGCCATTCCGTAGACGAAATGAATGTCTGCCATTTCTGCATTGGTATATTCGTACATTTTGAACACAATAATAGACAATAAATTATTACATACATACATACATTTTTAAATGACAAAAACCATGATCTTTTTTTTTAATAAACTGTCATGACTGATTCCGCTACCATGGAAACCTCTCGGTTGTTTGCAAGGCTTGCTATGCATGTATGTACAATTGTACATTTTAGCAATTTGACTCTGAAATAAAACGAATTTTATTTTTTAAAGCGTAAACTATGCATTGAACGAAAAAACTCAAGAGATTAAATTTGTTTAAAAATAAATGAGGATTTCAAAAATAATTTTTGTTTTAAGATGAAGCAGTGGCATACTATTTTTTTCTACAAAAATATTCAATACAAACCCCGTAGGTATGCACGCCACTGATAGAAAACATAAATTTGTATATTAAAAATGCATCTTAATGCATAGTATACGTGTACCAAATTTCGTAAAGATATCTACAATAGTCTCACAGTTATTGGAAAAAATAGTTTTTTTTCTGAAAACTTTACCACCCTGTAGAACAAAAGTTAAGAGGTTTAGGACACGTGTTCATATAAACTTTTTGCCTTAAAATTAGTCAAAAATTCACTATTTAAAGTTTGTACAAGTACTTAATAAACACCCTGTATATTAAATTGCTAATTTTTTTTTGAGGTAAAGGTGATTTAAAACATTATACATGCTTTATTTACTGAGATTTATTTGTGATTTGATACAAATTTGTCCTAAATTGCAATGTTTATTGTCATTAATAAACTAATATTATGAATGTTAGGTAAATATATACTCCTACCTAATAGTAGAGTTTAAAAATGATTCTATCGTGTCATTCCGTTTGCACTTCATTGCTAAAATGTATTACCTATTTTATATCATTCCTTACACCATAAGAACGCAAAATCGCCTGGTCGTCAAAAAATCGTAGTGTGCAGGGGGTAGTTAGGGGTGGTTTTCCAAAAAATATCAAAATTTTTTTTTTGCTTAATTTACATCTACACGCCATTTTTAATCATCTGCAAAAGTTTTGTTTCAAAATTCCAAGAGAAAGTATTTTATTTTTAATTTTAAATTACCTGCCCAACACGCTCTTATATGGAGTTCCTTAATATTAAATGGCTCGCGCTGAAACATCAAAATTGCAATATCATTTACACCGTGAAAACTCAAAAATGAAAATTCTAATCAAAAAACACTTTTAATAAACGTTGTAGAGCAAAGATCAAGGATTAAAATACTTTTTAGAAATTAAAAATCTAATAAATGGTTTCGTCAAAAAACTGTAAAATGTAAGAGCTTGTCCTGACGACCGCTCTCTGACGCGGAGATGCGGGGATGGTTGAAATTCTCTTGGCACGCTGTTGTATCTAGATGGTACAGTCGTCCGTATGTATTTTTGAACCTCGTAAGTGGTTTTTCGTTTAAAGCAGCAGAAAGTACCTATATTGTTACTATAGCGAGGCGTAACGGTGTGATAATCAAAGATACATCATAAGAATATTATAGTGGTTTTCAGTTTAAAATTTTGAGTATTTTTAAATATTTTTTAAAAGTTATGTTAAATAAATTAATAAAAGTTAGATATTTACAAAACACAAATATAATCAATTTAAAAATCCTTTTATTAATAAGTATTGCTGGTAACAATAATTTATACATTTCTGCTAAAATTCGCGTTAAAATAGTCGGAAGATAGGATACTTTACCTAATACTTCTTTTATAATTAACATTCAACCTTTTTAATAAAGTATTTGATAATAACGTGTGACTAGGCATATTATTGGTGCTGGAGTCGGTGTTCCGTAGTAGAATCTTCTATTACTGTGAATAAATCAATAAATGAATAAATAAATAATTTATTAATATTCTTATAAAATTAGCTTACAGCATTTAGTCAGACTCGGAATTTTCTTCACTCTCAGATAATATATTCTGGGAAGCTTTTGTGTTTTTTAGGTCTTTATTTGCACATGTAATTTGAGCCATACAATTGCAGGACCCAATGCAACAAATTTGTTTTTTCTTGCAGGAACATTGGGGCCCGTTGCAATCTAGGAAAAATTTTTAAATTAATAATATACTAATAACAATAATAAATAATTTACCTTTTTTACAATTGCAAGTATTTAAAGCAGAAGTGTCCTCAGGTAGTATTGATTCTGTACTTAAAATTGGTACCAGTTTTCCATTATCAATTTTCCAGCCACACTCTGATACTTCTGGTAAAGATATCCTTTTCCTTTTTCAAATCCTCGCCCCATTTCGTTAAATAACTGTTGTAAATGTTCGTCTTCCTTGTCGAATTTTCGTTTACCACTTGCACTGCTTTGGCCAGACTTTTTTTCTGTATTTCGTATTTCTGTAGAAAGACAGGAGGCATGATATTTAATTTCAGATGCAATTAAATCATTTTCACCGATCCTGCTATAAAATAATGGGTTCCTTCGCGATATATTTTTAATCTTCTGTTCCATGTTTGTGGTCATTACTTGACATAATTTTTGGTTCCTTAGACGTCTTTGACAAAAGATGCACTTCTGTATATCAAATTGGTTTGTACGCAAATTAGGTTTTTGGGGAGTATCTACCAATTGTATATTGGTAGTTAACTTTGCACACTTTAATTTGTATGATGCAATATTTTGGGAACTTGTAAAAGATTTGTAGCAAGTTTTGTGCCATTTTAAGCTTTTTTGCTCCTTTAAATTATTTAGATTTAAAAAAATATGTTTTAATGCAGGGTCGTTGCTTTGACTAATGTTCATACGGACCTTCGTACATTCAATAAATTTCTGTTGAGATTTTTCCTGAGATTCAAACAATTTTCCGCTTTTTTGACAGAAAACACACAGCTGGTAATTAATATTTCTACTTTCATTTCTGACAATTTCTTTTTTAAAAGGTTTTAATTTGATTTTCGACTCTAGTTCACTTTCGGAACTAGTACTGCTTATTAAATCCATCGTGTCGTGTTTCTAGAAAAATATTACATGTCAATTTACCTTTCTTCATCAAAAATGGGGTGCATTAAAAAAGTATATAAAAAAACTTACATAATAATACTTATATGTATTGTAAAATAAGCATAAATTTAAAAAATTCTGTACGAAAAAGAGACAATATTTATATAGATAATATTTTATAAGCATCCAAATAAAATCAATAATCGACACATTTTTTTTTAAATTTCAGTCACAAACATTAAATAAGACACTTGGGATTTTGTTTTTTAGCGAAACTGCTATTGTCCCAAATATTTTTTTATATATCCTACTATATATTACTACTGCGCATTACAAATAGTATATGTAGGAACTTACCTGTATTTATCAATAAAATGAAATAGCAGCTTAAATATTATAATGTTCGAATAATTCTGAAAAACAGTTAACAGGGATACTTAATGTAACTAAAAGTTGAGAACCACAACGTAACAACACAAAAACATCAACACTTTACTCATTTGAAATATGCTGTAATGGTAATGGAGCACACATGCACCCTCTAAGTAGGTACTGTTTTAAACGAAAAGCATCCATCTAGACTCGAAAACACATACGGACGGCTTTACATATAGATACAACAGCGTGCCAAGCGAATTTCATCCATCCCCGCAGCTCCATATCAGAGTGCGGTTGTCACGACATGCTTTTACATTTTACAGTTTTTTGAAGAAAATACTTATTAGATTTTTGATTTAAAAAAAGTATTTTAATCCTTGATCCTTGTTCTAAAACTTTTATAGAACGTCTTTTTTTGATTAGAATGTTCATTCTTAAGTTTTCACGGTGTAAATGATATTGCATTTTTGATGTTTCAGCGCGAGCCGTTTTATATTAAGGAACTCCATATAAGAGCGTGTTGGGCAGATATTTTAAAATTAAAAATAAAATACTTTCTCTTGGAATTTTGAAATAAAACTTTTGCAGATGATTAAAAATATTGTGCAGATGTAAATTAAATAAAAAAAAATAAATGCTATTTTTTGGAAAACCACCCCTAACTACCCCCTGCACACTACGATTTTTTGACGACCAGGCGATTTTGCTTTCTTATGGTGTAAGGAATGATATAAAATAGGTATTACATTTTAGCAATGAAGTGCAAACGAAAATCGTTTTTAGAAGGAATTTCTTAGCGTTTAATCTCTACTACTATACTCCGTTTTTAAACTAAGAGGAGCGATTTGAATTTAAGTTGGTAATTCTGTAGCCTTCTGATTGGTCAGATTACAGTCAGTTTCACACATTACTTTTTAGCATGAACATCAGCTAATAATTGATATTGTTGACAGTTCTGACATTTTATAATTTGATATCTCATCCATTACTTAGTTTTTTACTTAATTTCGTAAATAATAGTTCTTCAGTAAGCAATTGTATTGAAAATCTACAATTATGGATCCTTCTAAACTGAATACTATTAAAGGTAGCAATTCCTGAAAAGCCTTACAAGAAAGGGAAGACACCTTATTATTTTACATGCTGATTCTGAAGGTTTTGTAGAAAATGCATTATTGGTTTTTGAAGGTAAAAAGATGGGAGATTACCATGAAGAGATGAATTCCGAAGTATTTTAGAAAAAAATAATTTTATTACTGATTTTTTTAAAACTAAAAATTGATGAATTTCTAACCAAAATGATTAAAATGTAACTAAATATTTAAGCAAATTTTATTTATTAGAATAGAATAAAACTATTTACAAAATTGTTATAACATTTAAAACACCATCTACTACTTTAGGGATAATCTTAATTTGGCACAATGAGTTAACATTACTTTCACAAAAAATATTTTAAAAATACTTAAAATTAATACATAGGTATGTATGAATAGTTCACTTTAAAAAATATATGTTGACATGTAGTGTTATGAAAATGTTGGTTCCAGTTTTCAAAACAAATTCTGACTCATAGGCCTGTAAACTTTTGAATGCCTTTATTTGCCCTCTAGCGCATTAACCATGGGTTAACACTAAATAAGCCATAATATCCACATTACTCATAGAAGAGATACCAGTTACTGTGTGATCCACTTGTCATTTACTGAACTTTTACTTTTTATACCTATAACAAATTATCTTTATCTTTATATTTTATACTAACCTGGCTACATCTGGATATTCCACTAACAATTTTCTTAAATATTTAATATCCATTTTAAAAAGATCATAGTTATTCTCAAAAAGTCGATTTCAAAAGCAAGAAAAAAGTATTTCTGACATCAATCAACAACCATATTGACTTTAATTTGACAGTGACATTTCGTTTTAGACACACATTTCAGATCACAATAGTGAGAAATTTGCGACCGTTGTCTGGGACCAATTAAAAAATTACTTCTATGACATTTATTCGTTTCTTAACCGCTCATTGGCCGTTCGCTGACTAAGGCCGATAAAGATAATTATTTCATAAATTTTGAACACGACTATATTTCGAAACTCGCTCTTAGTAACAAATCTAGTTACTTTTCCCTGTGTAAATGCGTCTTTTTAATTCGCTCCTCCTAGTTAAAAAACAGAGTATAATAATAATTGTTGTAGAATCGACCATGATTATTGTAGTTATGCATGCATTGTTACTTAAATATTTTTTATTATTATAGGATTATTTAAGCTATACACGCGATGCTATGGATCAAGATGGCGTTAAAGTATTTGCGTACACTGCATGGAGTTTAATGGATAACTTCGAATGGTTTTCTGGATACACGTAAGTTTAAAATAAAATGATTGCAGCTGAATAAAATATTTTGATATTGAAAATCACCAGGTAGTGAAAGTCTTATTTGTCCCGCAGAATCCCCGCGACAAAATGCCCGGCGCGACAAAATCCCCGGAAGCTAAAATCCCCGGCGACAAAATCCCCGGAAACAAAAATCCCAGTAAAAAAAATTTCTTGAATAAAAATATATCCCAGTAAAGAATCCCCTTGGATACAAAAAAATATTTGCTTAAAATACCATAAACTCGCACAACTCAGAAAACAATAAACTCATGAATACCAATATCGATTATAAATTCAAATTTATGAATAATTATCTTAATAACAAAGCTGAAAATCTTATTTCAATAAAATTAACGCAAACAATATGTACACATTACAATAAGAAATATTATAATCGCAAATTTTGGGCAACGCCATGGAGGAACAGTAACTTGTCGTTGCAATCAAAAACCTGCACCAATACCGACAAGCGATTTTCCATTTGTTCCAATTTTCTTTTCCTACTTACACTTTCACCTGCATGAATAGCAGTTATCACATTTTTCTGTTTTGAAACTTAATAGAATATAATTTTTGGATTTATTTTGAGTTATTTTTTGGCGCGGATAATCGTGAAAATTGTTCTGTGAAAGGCTGAGTATATCGGGCATAAGCATGCTTTATCATGTTTTGAAACTTAATGGAATAATCTTTTTCGATTTTTTGCATTGTTTTTTGGCACGAGTATTTTGTGACGTAGGGGATTTTATCCCCGGGGATTTTGTCACCGGATATTCTTGTTTCCGGGGGTTTGGTCGTCGGGAATTTTGTCCCCGGGAATTTTGTCCCGGTGATTTTGTCGTGGGGATTTGGTCGCCGGGGTTTTTGGCTGGCACCCAAGAAAATTATTTATATCGGTGCTGAAAAAATACCGGTGTTACTTCCGAATATTTCTTTGGTAAAAATGTTCTGTAGCATATGTCGCTGGTGTTAGAAGAATTGGGTTCTTTTGTAGAAATAACTAACGAGTCATAGGTAGTAGAAAAAGAAGTGTTTTTAATTCACTATTTTCACTGAAGTAAATACATAGTGGTTGATTCCAGTTAGATATAATAATTTTATTATCTTCAATAAACAGTTTTAAATATTTACAATTTTAGTTCATCACAATTTGATTAACTAATACAGTTGATTTTTTAGTTACCAACTTGAAAACATTTGTTTGTAGAATTTCTTATGCCATAATAATTGTAGAAGATATAACTTGCACCAGAAATAAACTGCATTAAACGCTTGTAAAAATGTAGAAAGTAACGTGACGTCGGCAGAAAGCACCTGAACTCGTTTGTGGCAATAAGACAACTACTGAATGATGGCAAACATACAACTCAACTGCTCGCGTCGAGCTCACCCTAATATATACTGTTGGGATGAAATGAGTGTCCGGGGCATAGTTCACGCACCTATTCGGTTTCAACCAATGAAAACATCATGACATAATGAAATACGTCATTTGTGCTTCGTTAACTATGCGCCGGACACTCATTTTGTTCCAATGCACCGCTGTGCACCTAAAAAACACAGGTGTTCGACGTTCGGTATTCTGAGAAAAATGCTATTTATAGTTTTATGACTTCACATTATATTAGGGTAAAAAGCAGTCGAACTATTTAAGAATTGTTTATTTATTTAGTAGGTGTAAAATATTAATTTGTTGATGTTTTTACTGGTGAAATTGTAGAATTTAACCAGGTGCAAACTTCCATTTTGCGGCTTTCCAAGACCACATATCTTGAAAACAAATACTCCTATTAAAAAAAAAACATTAAATAAAAAATGTACAGAATAAAATTTCACGTCACGTAGATCCCTCAATTTTTAAATTCAATCATTTTAAACTTCAAATTCTAACATCAATTTAAAAATGTTTTTTTTTTCGACGTTTTGATTAATTTTGAGTAATTTAAGGTAAAAAATAGCACTTTTCATTACTTTAAAATGTTACAGTAATATACGCACAACCTGAGTAAAGATTAGAGTAGTATAATAAAGAGTATATTGTTTAACGAGTGACGAAAGTAGCATTTTATGCAAACGAGAGAACAGTTTATCAAACGAGGCGCAGCCGAGTTGGATAATGTTCTCATGTTGCAGAAAATGTTTTTCGACAAGTAAAACACTATACTTTTTCTATAACCATGGCTTACAAGAAGTTTGAATAAGTTGAATTATCTTTAAAGTGATCTCGACGAAATCTGCGATTTAGGGGTAAACCCCGTTTTACCAGGTTTGTTTTGACATCTACCTTTATATTATAATTAAACTTCCCCTTTATAAAATCCTAAAAATGAATTCTAGCACTGCAACAATAATTTTATATTATCTGAAATTGCAACCACTTACTTTCGTCACTTGAGACGAGAGTTAACGTTATGGGATATTCTATTACTGGTGTCGGAACTGGCGTTTTTGGTTGGAGTAAAACGTGACAAAAGTTGTTGGTTATAGAAAAAATTATTTTTAAATTTAACAAAGTTGTGTACCATTAAATCTTTAATAAGTATTATTAATTTTAATTTATTAAGAAATAAATTAATCATAGTTCTTAATGGTTTAGCTGCAATGAAATAACAAGAACACTTAAACTTTATTGATGACATAAATATAACGAAAACATGTAATAAATTAATAGGCATGCAGCACAAAAAGTGGCAGCATTTATGTTCGCTTTTTCTTAGATGGCCCTTTATCTGAGAAGCTCTGTAGGTGCGGTTGCATATCGAAGCCCTCTTCATCGGGATTATCTTCTTACCTATATCTGCTTCTACGACAATGTGGGTCACACCCCTATGCTGAAGGATACTGAATTCGAGCATGACTGGCCATTACAGTTGAGGCATATTGTTGAACATTTCATGCCAACTTGTCCTTTCATTCATACATTTGCAGGACACTGTATTGAGAATTTCAGCAGTTCATAATGGGGAGAAGGCCAAGGTCCGTCCTCCTCCTAGTTAAGAGGTGCCTTTGGTGAATCTTACCAGCCTTGGATTTGAAGGTACACTCGCAGAATATGTTGGGGGCGGCTGCATTTGTTAGAGATTTTGAAAATATCTCTTCCAAGGAGGTCTTATCTGCCTTAGGTGAATAGAGGGCTGCCAAGAACAGTTGACCCACTGAAATGAGAACCTCTAGAATCAGCATCTGCATTATGAAAAACCTTGACAGTATTACAGTATTACTTATTAGTTTTTGAGTGTGTTGTAACGAATATCTGTAATCAAATTATTATACTTTATTAATGTTAATTTTTGCAATAAATCGGGAAACATTTACTATTTCCAAAACAGTTAGGTATAGGAGAAAATAGTCTAGAATTTTCTTAAAAATCCAAAAATTGAAAAATATACTGGGTGTTGAATATATAATAAGAAAGTTGGTATTGGCCACTGTTATGTGACACACCCTGCATAAAAAGTGTTTTTTAATGTGCAATTAAAAATACCAATCGACGTATCAGAGCGTTTTTCCGAACACGCCCCCATTTATTTATTACCGAATTTATTCCATTTGGCTGTTCCACACCGTATATCACACTTGTATTGAAAAGTAAAAAAATACACATGTATTGAAAAGTAAAAAAATATCGTCCTATTACCTGTGTTATGTACGTCAAAGTTATTACAATTTTTAATACAAATTTTTATGTACCTACCTAAATAAAAGTAATTTTAAAAAACCGTCTTCAAAATCGTACAGATGCTATCACTAGATCTTGACCAAATTTATAAGGGGATACCCCTGAGTTACCCCCTTTCTAATAAAAAAGAAATATAGAAATTGGACAAGGTGATAAAGAATTTTTGCTAAATATACATAAAAAATGAAGAGTTTGATGATTTTTTCATCAACCCAATTATTAGATCTTGACCAAATTCATATGCAATAACAAAATAGAATCATTAAAATCGGATAATGTCGAAAAGAATTATCGCTGAATATAAATAAAACAAAAAAATATTCCGACGAATTGAGATCCTCTTCCTTTTTTTTTTTTGAAAATTGTAAAATAATAAACAAACATTTCTGGTGGATTTTTTTACTTTTCAACACCTTTGTTGAAATACTTTTCAACACATGTGTGATATACTTTTCAGTACACGTGTGATATGCTTTCCAGTACACGTGTGATTGCTTAATTGACTTTCTTATTTGACAAATCTTTTTTGTATTCGTCAATAAAATTTTTAGAATTTGAACTCGCCCCTGTTTTGAGGTATTTTTTGGTTGGATATCACAATAAAAAAAAATGGTTCGAGCAAATATTTTTCGAGAAAGTTTCGGGAAAATGTTTTCTGAGAAGAAGATTTTGTGCAATATTCCGTAATAATAGGCGACTGCGATGCGATTGAGCACAGCTCAAGAACCCCAAGTGGAAAGTGGAAATGTCATCCGTTATAAAATATAAAAAAAACTCCACTCCTTTAGGCTTACACACATTTATAACTAGAATTATTCAATATGGCAGCCATTTTTAAAGTTGGCAGAACATTTTTCGATAAACGATTCTTATTCAAAAATGTTCAATAAGTTAGAGTTTACAATAACAAATGTAGGTTTTCATTCTAAATTAAAAAATAAATTGAGATTTAGTGTTATTTACGAAAAAAACCCGAAGTACGTCATAATGTCACTGAATTCGTTAAAATAAAGTTTTTACTCCAAATTTTTAAACAAAAATATCACAATTATTAATAACTAAGATAAGAGGGGATGAAACTTTTAAGTGGCCCTACAGGGTGGGCCCTGTAAAACTACAATATAAATGTATATTACCATGGCTAAATACAATTCAATATTACAATAATTTTTAATAATTTTATAAATTGTAAAGTAATTGAGTATGATGGCAAGATTCGAGATTTTTCATGCCATATTAGTGTGAGGCAATTTTGGTTCCACTGACAATTAAGTTCTAACCAAACTTTTAAGAAAAAAAAAAAATCATTGAATTTGACATTTTTATTGTTTTTAGTTTCTTCTAAATATCGTTTACGTCATAAAAAATAGTTTAAAGATATGTAATAGGCCACTAAACGATTACATACTTTATATATTATCTACGCACTCAAAAAGTTGTAATTGTCAGTGAAATCAAAATTACATCATCAGAAATTTAGCGTACAGCAGCCGGATTATTTTGACAGATTTCAATAGATTCATATAGGTACATTTTATTATCTACTTTTTCTACAATTTAACATAAAATAATATTGTAAATATTCATTTTTAGGCAAAAGTTTGGACTTTACGCAGTTGACTTTGACAGTGAGAACAAAACTAGAACTGCGAAACAGTCTGCACTGTATTTTCGTCAAGTTATTAAAACAAAATGTCTTGTAGATCAGTGCGTTGAATAATAATAAAAACAATTTTTATGCCTTTTTTAATTTGTTTTATTTTGTCTATACAGCGAGACCGTAAAGTAATTCATACATTTATTTAAAACTAAAACATATTTTATGTTAATTTATTGTATTTCACATAATTCTCATCTTCAAGTGATGACAATGACTTTTTTTTTAAATCGACCACCCTTTTCGATTTTAAACCATTGCTGTTTTCAAAATGTAGCACTAGATAGTTGAAATTGATACCGGGTGGACAAGAAAGCAAATAGTCTAAGAGTTAGCAGTCAATCCAAGTAACGTCTTAAATACAAGGCTGAAAATTTTTGTAGCTCAGTTGACTTTAAAACGAACTTCGTCTGAATATCTGTTTGTCGTTCGTATAAGTTGGTCTGTTCGGTAATATGCTGAAACAATTCGTCATTCATAAAATAGCGAAAACAGTCATACTGAGTTTTCAATTGCTTCAAATAATTTGGCAAGTCTTTTGGCCCTTGAAATATTAATTCATTGACGTGTACCTGAACCTTTTTCTTTCTCCATGTAATATGTTTCAATTCTGCACACTCGTTATTGACAGTCATAATATCTCCAATAAACGTTCCAGTAGTGGGGACATTAGGCCCACCTTCTTCTTCAATTAGGTCCGGTGATAGAGGTTTTGAACGTTTTTTGTATGTTGTGAGGGGTGCTGGACCAGTAGCATTAGTCTGATCAGAAATTTCGTCATTAGGGATTGCAGATGATGAATTAGCATCGTTAGGTCCTATTGAAGTCTCACCAGTTGATTTCTCTTGATAATTCAGCTCGTCCAACTCATCTTCCGCAGTTACCAAATGATTTGAACACGTGTCGATATCATCATCAGTATCGCAATCTGATTCGTCCTCATCGCTGGTGTCAATATCCGTAGGGATCTCATCCATCATTTCATGGATTTGATGGTCAGTCATATTTTCTAAGCCCAAATATTTTCTTCGCCAAGCCATAACTGAAAATTTACATAATCTAAGTCTAACTTTTGATATTGCAGTTTCCTAACTTTTAAAGATCACTCAGTATCCCAGCAAACCATTCTGTTACATGTTCCCTCCTGTTACATAACTAAGAAGGATAAAATATACTTAGACTGTCTTGTATGCACTTTTATGTGTTATTTATGGAACCGAACACCTAAGTTCAAACTTAGCACCATAGTTATATACCATGTATATAATTAAAATATATGTTACAAAATTACATATCCGTTATATAAATTTCCTCACATAAATATTATATCAATTTATATATCTATGTGTAATCTACATTAAAGTAACAATTTGTACTAAATTATTTCGTACAAAATGTTACATAGCGTATATATACATAAATGCTGTTGACCAAAAGGTTCTTGAAATGCGCATGTTTTTTTAGGTAGGTATATCTGGTGTATTATTTTTAGTACCGTTTCAATGTTCATGGCGGCTATAGGCGTTTTATGGAGGTACCTGTGGCATTTTTGGATTTTTGTGAACAATAGCAGGTATGTTGTGTTTTTATAATGGAATTGAGTTATTATATATGTATGTGCTGTATTTTGATGATACATTTGAGGTGTAAATATTAATTTTTGTTCTCTTTTCAGGTCATGCTTTATGGGGTCCTGAATTTTGAGGACGTGGGTCGTCGTTAATAGCAGATATTTTGTGATTTTTATGATGAATTTGGGTTATTATATTTGTGTGCAATATTTTTTATAATACATTTTTGGTTTCGGTTATGAATTTGTGCAATAAAATTATTGATATACCTAACAAATACGTTTAAAAAACTTTTCTTTATCCTCCAAATATTTTCGACGTTTTTTTTTATATTTGTCATACAGTGTGTCTACTTAAGTTGGAACCAAATGGAAAACTTTTTTATTATTGGTTTTGTGAAAAAATGTATTCCTGATAAAAAGTTCTGCATGGTCCAAAACTTAGAATGCAACCATCAGATATCAATTTTTTTATGCTGTATATAAGGTTTGCCAAAAAATATGAATTTTACTCAAGAGTAAAGTACCTTTATGTTTTACAATACAGAAGAATGTTATGAAGTAAAGTTAGTTTGAATTAAAAGTTATATTCAAATATGCACTTTCAGCCATTTAGCATTAAAATTCATGTTTGGTGATTAATTTATAACTACAAATAATGTAAAACGTAAATAACTAATTGTATATTTGAATATCACTTTTAATTCAAAATAACTTTACTTTATAATGTTCTTCTGTATAGTAAAAAATAAAGGTACTTTACTCTTGAGTAAAATTCACATTTTTAGACAAACCTCGTATACAGCTTAAATAAATTAATATCTGATGATTGCATTTTAAGTTTTAGACCATGCAGAACTTTTTATCAAGAACAGATTTTTTCACAAAACCAATAACAAAAATATTTTCCATATGGTTCCAACTTAAGTAGATACACTGTTTAATACCTACATTTTGAAACGACACATTTACATACCTTCATTTATATAACATTTATAATACTAATGTTATATGAAAAAAATAATGTATATGTGCTGTAATAATGAAGCATATTAAATGTTACAATGGTAATATAAATGTTACATGTCTTCCGATATATAACATTGTTCCTTACATGTACTTAACACATTACATCACATATAAGGAACCTGCTATATAACAAAATTAGGTCATTTTTCACAGTAATCACGTGAGTTATTATGTAACATGTAAGTTACTTTGTTATGTAACACGGAACTAGTACACGTAAATGATACATATATGTTACATGTTTGTGTTTGCTGGGATAGTCTTCTACAAATATATAATTTTTCTTAAACAAGGAAATAAACGATTATTACCTCTCTTCCAAAAAATAAGACAAATTAATGAATAGCGGTAATTAATTTTTTTGATACTTCTAATGCATAGGTCCGCCTACAGGCGGTTAAGACTTTTATGGAGCTCTAGGAGCCCTAAATATTTTTTTTGTAATAACCCTCACAAAAAACTAAAGGTATAAGGTATACACTACTTACCGATAATTTTTTCAGCACCAAAAAACCTCTGGAAATATTTTTAAAAAATTCACGAATTCACGGTTTACGGTTCACAGATATCTGAATTTTATACCCGCTCTTGACAATGCTGTGATTTTACACAGGTGTTATTTTTAAATGTCAGTCGTAGCGGCAACCAATTATACACAACATCGTAGAGTGTGGTATAACTTTAGGGTGGGTTATACTTTAAACATAAAAATAATTGATTTCTAGATAAACTTTAGTGTTACAATCAAGTCCGCCTTGAGGCAGAGGAATGCAGTAGAGGGTTAACAGATATTAAAATGTGTACCTACCTCTACACGGAAAAATTGTTTATTATCCACCACTCAATATGAAATAGAAATATTCAAGAACCAAATCGGTTTTTTATACAACTCCCCCTACTACCTTTCAACGTAATAGAAATAAATCAAATGAGAGCAATTTGTTTTTTCTACCTTATGGAGTTAAACATTCTTTTAAAATCAGTATAAGAGGTAAATATTTATTTCCACAGCTGTCAACGATATACGCCATCAAATACTATGGGATTTAAACTCGAATCGCCAAATCCAAAGTCCCAAGCTTTGTCCATTCCTTTATTAATGGTATTAATTTGTACATCATTTTTATAAATCTAAATATTTCGTTTTCAGCTAAATCAAAAATCGGTCATTTAATTATAGATGATTATAAATTTTCTCTGTATTTAAAAAAATAAAATTTATCTTTTTTTGAAAACATGGATCTAGCAATCAGTATGTAGGCATATAGAATTAATAAATACAAATAAAAAACTCGTTTTTAAAAAATTTTAAAAATAAATAATATGACTATATTATTTTTTTTTTGTACCAAAATATTGATCTTCCCTTGTTTCCGTATCCAGATAGAAATGATTCTACGCTAAGAACTCCGTGAGTAGCAAATAACAAATTCAACGGATCGATAATTCATTTTGGCGAGTAGATTATTTTACTAAATATTTGACTACAGGCACTACTTGTTAGGCAGTCCCGCAGTACAGAATTCGACCGCAAATCCTTTGGAGACTCTGTCCTTATGGACAGACACAATCTTTAATAAAGTCAGTTCTGGAACGTAAACGAACTGCGCATGCTCAGATATCAAAATAAGAGCGGCGCCAATATTGACTAACCTTAAGTGAACTTGCAATAACTCTCTAATTATTAAAATTTTAATTTGTAACGCCTTTTAGGACGGCTTTGATGATGGCTTTGTTAAGCTGAAAGCGCTTAGTCTAATTAATAAATAAAAAAGTACTTATTCCACCTTTATTTCACTAGTAGTGTACACCACTCCCAGTCTACTAATTTAAAAATATTTGTTTAGTTCCATACTTTATCCCAACTTTTAGAACATGCGAATAAAGTACGTAACTACCCAGTTGTCCACTTTGTCTACGTCACCGTTTTAGTTATATACAAAAAATGATAAATGGCTCCAATCTGTATTTAGCCAAATTATGTAAAAACTATAAATTTAATGTCGAAATTCTTTGTGAATCGTTCGGAGGAGACAGACATCGTAACAACTTATGTTAATTCATAATATTTATTAAAATATATTCAAAAGTCCAATCGAATATTTTTTTTATTACACTCGTGTCACTATTACCATTTTACACCTCTTGAAGAAAATCATTTTTACTTACTTTTTACTAAATTTTACGACTATTTTACGACTTCATTGATATTAGGAACGAGGTAAAGATATTTTATTGTTTTTTGTTTTATATTAATGTGTATACTTTAAGAGAGAAAGTTTGTTAGAATTCATACAATGTGATTATTATTAAACTAAAGAAAATATGAAAAATTGGCCATACTTTTGTATCAATGGATAAGGAGTTATTAGTTTGGTAATAGAAAAAGAAAAAGAAAAACAAGTTAATTACGTTGTACTAAAAAATTTTTTTTCTACACCCGTATTATAATAATTCACTTATATGCCCATAATCCGTTTCATAATGATA